TCATTAGCCGCGTTTCCACTGTCGGGCCAAAAGCGGGCGTGCTAGTGCGTGCCAGGGCCAGTCGCGTTTCCACTGTCACTTCCGGGGCTTGATCATGCCTCGTCGGTGCTTCCTCGGGGCCAACGGCCCGGGTTTTTTTGGCCTGACGAAAACCTTGGGCCAAAGCGGGCCAGCTGGGGCGTCAGCACTGCGGATCATTTCATAAAGTTAACAGCTATAACACCAGCATTAAATACTTTTAACTCACTTTCAGACAGCAGCGAGTGTTTGAAATAACTTGATCTGATGTGGATTATGATCACCATACAAGGCAGAAATATTTATAAGCATGCAAAAGACTATATGCACGCTAGCCATTAACGTTACCATAGTAAACATGGTAAATACGACCGCTTGAAGAAATCAGACGTCAGCTTCTTATTCTCTATCACAATCGTGTATTTATTTAGTAACATATTTTATCTGTCATAAATCTCGTCTCGAGAGTTTAGCTCCGCGTATGTGATAAAAATATAATAATGGTTTTTGTTCGGGAGCTTTTATAAAAATATAAAAATGAGAAATGATAGGGTTGCGTGACGTTGTTCCTGAGAGGCGTGTAAAGGGCGGGTTTTAGTGAAGCGCAGCGGAGCTTCTGGCCCGACGGTGGAAACGCAGCGTGATTTTGGCCTCGGTGCTACAGGTCCGAGGCTATTAGCCCCGCCCGGCCCATTTAAAGCACTGGCTCGCACTGGACCGACAGTGGAAAAGCGGCTATTGCTGTCTATGCAGGGCCAGAAAGTATGCGGATTTCATCAAAAATATCGTGTATTTATTTAGTAACATATTTTATCTGTCATAAATCTCGTCTCGAGAGTTTAGCTCCGCGTATGTGATAAAAATATAATAATGGTTTTTGTTCGGGAGCTTTTATAAAAATATAAAAATGAGAAATGATAGGGTTGCGTGACGTTGTTCCTGAGAGGCGTGTAAAGGGCAGGTTTTAGTGGAGCTTCTGGCCCGACGGTGGAAACGCAGCGTGATTTTGGCCTCGGTGCTACAGGTCCGAGGCTATTAGCCCCGCCCGGCCCATTTAAAGCACTGGCTCGCACTGGACCGACAGTGGAAAAGCGGCTATTGCTGTCTATGCAGGGCCAGAAAGCTCTCGGATTTCATCAAAAATATCTTCATTTGTGTTCCGAGGATGAACGAAGGTCTTACAGGTTTGAAACGACATGAGGGTGAGTAATTAATGACAAAATTTTAATTTTGGGGTGAACTATTCCTTAATATTTTTATCGAAACCATGATACATTTTTTTCAGGCTTCTATGATGAACAAAAAGTAAAAAAAAAAATAACAGCATTTATTTGAAATAGCATTTAATTGTTACAATATAAATGTCTGTCATCATTTAACACAAGTTGTGTAGACTACTTTTATGGTGCTTTTTTGAGAATTTGTCCTTATTTTCCTTTTCGTTTCATGGAAAACATAAAAGCACCAATGTTTGGAATGACACCAGGGTGAGTAAACAGAACTTTCATTTTTAGGTGAACTATCCCTTTAAGACTAGTACGGTAGTGGATTCTACTATGGACCTTTGACTTTTATTGGACATGGTAAGGTTTATCACAGCTATTTAATACTGATTCACTTGTCTAACTGCATGATAAGCATTTTCGTTTGTTACCTGACAGGCAGTGTTCTGTCTCCTTTTCTGCGATCCATCTCTCTCTGTGGTACCGGATACCAGCGGAAGTTCAGCTTCCAGTTGAAGCCACCATATGTCATATCAGAGCCTGCCATGTACTCAAACGTGTCATCGCTGATCACGTCAATGATGGGACACACTACGGTTTTCCTGTGAAACACACACACAAGTGACATTAGTAATACACTTTCACAGCTTTGACCTCATCTACCTGAAAGAATGAGTTTTGTCTGCCACAGAATGTCCCTTTTTTATTTTGAATTCAGCTGGCACACGCTCAGACACACCGCTCTTTACTCAAACAGATGCAGACACAAATCAGAGGGGACGTCTCGCTAAACTTGTGTCATCAATCAGCACCAAGCAGCCCACTGTGATGCTAACCCAGGCGATGAGGATGGATTGCGCACACACACTCAGGCACCGCAGGCACACTTTCCTTTCCTAAATTCAGTAGACTGAAGCATCATCTGCTAATGATGCCCCAACAGGCCGCCCAAGGCAAGACAACACAGAGAATCAGCATGTGTATGTGGGCATGTGCGCATGTTTAGAAGAAATACTCCGCATATATCTTCAAAGAATCAAAATCAGATGAAAGTGAGCTCATGTTTCTATACCCTACATGTTCTCCGTTTCAGACACAAATGCAGCCTAAGGTGAAACCCAAGTTCAAAAATGTAATAAAGGCCTGGGAAAAAAACTCCAAAAGCTATTGATCGCTCCGCTCTCTGCAAACCAACATGCCAAAAGGGCGGAAAAGAAAGTGTGTGCGAAAATGACTGGTTTGTTTTTATGTTCCACCACAAATTGCAGAAATGAAAGGCATGTGCTGGGTGTAAAAAAATTTTTGTGTTTGTGACCGCATATATGTGTGAGCTATCAATCCACTAGTGGAATGCTATTTCCCAACTACTGACAAAAAAAAAAATGTAATCTTGCAACATCGCAAATGTTATAAACATGTCTTTACATTTGTGAGAGACATATTAGTCAGTGTCTATTGTATCTTCAAACATGCACCCTAGGTTTTGAAGAGACACCAGACTGAAGAACATCACATCTGGTTAGTGTTCCATTGGTGCAGAGTCAGACCACAACACACACACACACGCACACACACACACACAGATATGATGTTATTCGTTGTGAATGAGTTTTCCTGTGTCTTTAGAAATTTATCCTCCTACTTAATGCATACGCACAGTTTGTGAGCAGTTTTTTTCTTTATTTATCATTCAATTCAACCATTTTGTATCGTATTTTTTTGTTATCTTAATATGCAATTACAGTATATTGTGTAGATTATGTAAATGATTTTATATTAAGGTGATAATAATTATTATAGACTAGTAATTAGTCTATAGGAGTAGTAGACTAGTAGTTCGCCTTAAAACACCTTGACCCCAACCCTAAACCCCCACTAAAAGAAAATATATTAATTATTCTATAGGAGTAGTAGACTAGTAGTTCGCCTTAAAACACCTTGACCCTAACCCTAAACCCCCACTAAAAGAAAATATATTATTTATTTATTATGACATACCTTACAGTACATAGGTAAATGATAGCTAAGCAAATCTACACATTTAAATTATCATTAAAATAAAATTTTCACAATTTTATTCACAAAAATAGATCCCACATACTATTACATCACATATCCAGTGTATCCAGCAGCACATACTAGGGGAGAAAATAGCTTTCTCTATTGAGAAACAATAAAACTAAACAAAACTAGCTTTGGATCCTAGGGTTACAATGTTGACATTTTCAAAGTGTTGCAACTTAAAAGTAGTAGTACTTACTTGTCAAGTTTGATGCGAGTGAGCAGAGGCTCTAGCCAGCCGGTGGTGCATTCACAGTGGGCATCCAGGAAGGTAATCACCTGACCTGTGGAGATGGACGCCCCCTTCAACCGAGCGCGAATCAGGCCTGAGCGCTGCTCCATCCGTACCACCCTGACAGGAACCTCCAGCTTCCGCACGTACTGCTCCAACTGCCTCTTCAAGAAGTCTACATGCACACAAAGGTAACAAACAATTATACACTTGCTTCACATATACAGAGATTATATAGATCAAAATCATATCTTCGCTCAATATCCGTCAGTGGATGTTTAGCAAACCAAAACCTCTCTAGATGCAAACCACAATGCATATTTTAGCCAAGGCACATTATGAAAAGTTGGGTGGGGCATATTATAATTAGGTGAACATTTATTACTATTTTGATGATTACCTCTCTCCAACTGCATGATAATTTGTTCAATAGTCAACCAATGCCTCCAACCAGCTGATGGTTTATTTTGCCGTTAAAATTGTATTTTTTTATGTGGCTGCCAACAACTATTTTTTTTCACACTGTGGAGCTCAAGTGAAGCTCTTGAAATATAATGATTACTGCCCAAAAAGGTGTGTGAGGGGGCATGTTCTTTGTCTTGCCGATGTACAGGAAACCTTTCTTTAATAATTTCCCCCCACTTCAATCATTAACCAAGTATTGCTCTACAATCAGCATCTGCTGTGGGCGGTTTGGTTCACGCTGCCAATGACTCCAACGCTTTAACACAGCTCATGTGGAACAACATCCTCAGCTGCAGCAGCCATCGTTAAATACGGATCTAAAGTTACTGCGGTGGGATACCAACGCTGTCTGTTTTGATCAAACAAGCCAGTTCAAAGCCACTGAATGACCTGACAAGATTATTCAAACTGTGTTCAGGAACATAAAGGACAGACTGAAACTGTGAAACAATACAGAAGAAGCCTGTGAAACGTCAACATTCATTTACAGTTACATTTATGGTTAAGATGGTACATGTATTTTGTAAGTCACTGGTTCTTAACCTTTTTGACTCAAAGGCCTTCTGTTGTCCAACACAATATTCAAAGCCATTCAACATCCTGCTGATTTTAAACAACATGGATGAGTAGAATGACAGAATTTTCATGTTAGTTTTAGAGATTATTTTAACAAAAGCAACGACTAAAATCTGTAAACTGGTCCAAATCTGTCCAAAAAAATCTATGTATGGCAAACCCGCATCCACAGATCCAAACACAAGCCTTTAAGAGACCTGACGGGAGGACACGTCTGTGCAATACAGTCTCACAGAGGGTTTTTATCTGCTCTCTCATGCTTTATTTGAGGTGTGATATGTGGAACAGAACAGAACGCTCTGAACTACAAAGACAGCAGGAGCAGCAGGGATTTCTCATGCCAGCGACCCCCCTAAAACACTCCAGAAACAGAAAGACAAAAGAGTTTCACATTCAGCCGGGAAAGAAAACGTTTATTTTCTGTTTCCATGTCATTATCTGGTGATCCGTCTCTAACTTCTTCACACATACAGACAACCTGACAACATGTAAGTTCCATCCTGCAAAATTTCCCACTTTAAGGTGCAAATATGTCACATTATGTAAATTAAATGCATTGCAAACTCCATTACATGTTATACAAAACAAGTCAAATGGATGCTCCACTCAAATGAACACTCATCACTCTCTGCATACACGTGAGTAAATCTATGCACACGTAAATCAATATCCTGCCTTATTCCTCTAGTCGTTTAAGTGGAAATAAAGAGAGTGGGCGGAAAGAGGGAGAAGAAGAACGAGAGAGGACATCATTAGAGGACAAAATTGAGCGGCAGGAAGATGAGAGGAAGAATTTGGGTCTTTATCTCTCCACAGGAGAAGCAGATTAGCACAGATGAGGGAGGAGGGGGGCTGGCAGCTATTCTTATGCAGGACGTGACCTGTGCAGTTAATCTATTACCGACCGAACTGGTGCATGTGTGCGTGTGCGTGACAGAGTGAGAAAAGAAGACATCGATGTGTCTTTTTTGCATCTGTCAAAATGTTGCAGTGGTTAGACAGGAGAACTTTTCTTTCTAAGCATCATGGACATGCTTTTTGTCATCATTTAAAAAAAAAAAAAATACAATATTAATGAAGAGGATTTTGGCTTGCTGTGTGGTTTATCAGTTATTCTCCTGACCTTTGGTGACAGTTGGAGGGTTACATGGCGATTCTGGTGTGTGTGTGTGTGTGTGTGTGTGTGTGTGTGTGTGTGTGTGTGTGTGTGCACACCACAGGCTTCAATGAAGCTTCAAAGCACTCTTGGATGAACACTCTGTCAAAGTCTCTGCAGTCTCTCACCTACAGACTAAATTCTGATGTGGCTACAGTTACTCCAGCTGCGCTTTTTCTGTCATGGCGGGACTTGTATAGGTTTTATACTGAGGTAATAATGCTTTCGATCCCCTACCTCTGATCTTAAAGGCACAGTTCACCCAAAAATGAACAATCTGTCATTATTTATACAGAGACGCTTCAAACCTGTTTGACTTTCTTTCTTCTGTGAAACACAAAATAAGATATTTAGAAAAATGTCTCGATAATGTTTTTTGTCAATACAGTGAAAATGTATAAATCAATAGTGCAGCAATATATTATGAAGTCAATTTCAAACCGCACTGCTTTCTGTTGGTAAACACCACAAATCTGACTTGAAGCCGATGCAAAAATCTAAATTCCAGACTGCACAGAATACAATTGAAATTTCTTGATTTTGACCATTAACAATTTGACGAACAATGATAAATGTGACCGCATCTAAAATGATTGAGGTCCAGAAACAATTTATCCCACTGACTAGATCTAGCAGTTACATTCACTATTTACCTTCGATTACAAACCATATATCTGATAACAGAGAGCATATGAAATACAAAGAGAAACCTTGGGAGAAAGAGAATCAATAGAGCAGAAAAAAACACAAAGGACAAAGGGAGAAAAGGGGATAAAGTTTTTTTCTCTAGTGTGTCCTTCAGATAAATAGTGCTCCTCTGAAACTGTAAGGTCAGCGTTTCCAATGAATGAAGGTTTGAAGTGAGCAGATATTCACTGATATAAAACAGAACAAGCCAGTTTTATGCCTCAAACTACTGAACATGTTAAATAAGCTATTCATATTGTAATAGCCTAGAGCAGGGATTCCCAAAGATTTTTGTCAGTTAAACCCCTTAGACCTAGTCTCTGTTTGGAGACAGCCTTTCCCTTCTGCTGTCCTCCGAAGCAGACAAAGAGCTGGTCTGAGGTCCTGAACCTCCGCGTATGGTCCACGTAAATGCGCAAAGCGCGAACGGGACCGAGCAGAGCGATGGCTGGGTCTGCCTCCTCCCGGGGCAGCGCTTGCAAGTTCACCACCTGATCCCTAAAAGGCGTGGTGGGAACTTTGGGCACATATCCAGGCC